AATATATATACATATAATTTACATGTACAATCCAACAGGAGTTCAAGCCGGGGCAGAATTGGAGGAGGTGCCTCCCGTACGTCCAGTCGGTTCTCACGACCATCTTCCTCCAGTCGGACGTCCAGTGGCTTCCTGAACCGGCGTCCGTCTACAGGCGGCAGTACGGACAGGAGCCGGGGATCAGGCTACTCTTTTTCCAGGAATAGAGGAGGCTCTGCAGGAAACACAACCTCAGGAGATAGATCTTCTAGCTCTTCTTCATCCAGAAATCGGTTCTCGTCGAGAAACTCGACATCCGGGGACCGGGGCTCTGGGTCTCCATTTTCTAGAGACAGAAACAGAAGTTCCGGTTCACCATTTTCAAGAAATAGAGACAGAACCTCTCCTTTTGGCTCGGACAGAAACAGAGCATCAGGTTCTCCATTTTCCCGGGGCAGAGACAGAGCTTCTGGGTCTTCCTTCTCTTCAGGCCGAAGCAGAAGCTCTCAGTCTCCCTATTCTCGGGACAGAAATTCTAACCTCGACGGACGGGGAGATGAAGAGGACAGCGAGGACGACGACGATTCTACTGCAGCTCGTTCTCAACCAGCACAAAAGGAAGGTGCACTTCCCACAGGCTCATCGCTCTCCCGTGGCGAAAACGGCTCTCAGATGACGGCCGCGACTCTCTCCCCTGAGGGGAATGTCGCCGGGACAACGCTCGGGGATGAGTCCACTGAGAACACGAGGCCTGTGAGACATCACAAAAAGCATGACCGACAAAGACATGATAAGGAGAAGTATCCCAACGACAGAGACATCAAGGACCGAGCCGGGACTGGGAAGCTGCCTAGAAGCAGAGATTCCCGATCAGTAGGCAACAAAAAGAGGGCAATATCTACAGGGATGTATTCGAAACTTGCGATAAAGGTAAGAATCTTAATAAGCAAATGCTTTAAGTTTCAAACCAACAGTAAAATTCTGATATTTTATTTAGAAGCAGGTGTTTCCGTCAGAGCAGATGAAACTACTTGTCAATTAACTTGAAGACGAAATGCAGTTTCATTTCTTCTGCTTACATGCTTGCAATTGCAATATTCAGCTCTCTGGTAATCACTTATTTTGGTATATTTTTATAAATAAAGTGTCGTGGGGTAAAGCTTTAAACGTGATCTTTTGCAGAGAAATTCAGAAATGTATTTTCTAATATGATCATAACGTGTCACGACGCGGTGGAATGAGGCGCTCGTCAGTTTTAGGGCATGCGGAGTTATTGGTATCATCTTAAAGCTTGCTTTTTTGCTTTGATTTTGATGAAAAAAATACCCATGTGTCCGGAATAGAAGTTGAGATGTTTGCATTTGAGGACGGTGGGGATCGCCTGAATTAAAAGGTGAAATAGGCGAGAAAATGGCTGCCAAAGTTTGGTGACTTCCGTAGCTTGAGAGTAATTGAAACTCAACATTTTCCTTTTTTTCTGCCTTTTAGCAACGATTTTTTAAAAATCTACACAAAATGTATGTTTTAAAGGACACAAAAGTTTAAGAGTCAAAAATAAATATTCCATAAAAATTGTCAAATCGGCGGGGAAAAAGCGGTTTTTCGACCGCATAATTTTAACTAGCGCTTGCTTTCACCACGTCTCCTGACACATTCCAGTATGTTTAGCTAGAAAAAGGTGTACGAATACACGCCACGACCCCAGACATTTGAAGACTGAGTTTTCATATTTCAGATCGCTGAATGGAACGGCCACAACTTGACTGTCGATGGAATCACTTGGCCAGGGGGCAGCTCTATCCCACCAAAAGGCAAGCCGGAGAAATACGTGCTGAAGGTGGTCACGTGGTTTGAGGACCCTCACGTGCTCTTTGTGCCCCAGAACAACATCACCCACGAAGACGACGAAATCTGCGACACGAACGCCCTGCCCTGCAAGGTGTACGAGAACCGTGATGAGAAGTCGCACAGGTGAGTCTCTCTCTCTCTCTCTCTCTCTCTCTCTCTCTCTCTCTCTCTCTCTCTCTCTCTCTCTCTCTCTCTCTCTCTCTCTCTCTCTCTACTTCTCTCTCTCTCTCTCTCTCTCTCTCTCTCTCTCTCTTTTTTTCTTTTTTTTTTTCCTCTGGCGCTGTGGCGTCATAAACGGTCAGCTATGCTAACATCACCCAGGAACTCAACAGTCGCTCGGAGGTCCTTGAAAACGAGTTACTGAAATGTACCAGCAGACGAGTTCTGGCACGATAGTTGGAGGGACATCTCAGGAACACATGGTCCATAGTCTTGTCCTCCTCCTTTCAGGCTCGAGATGACGGATCTGGGTTGTCTGCTGGCGCAATTTTGTGAGTCACATAATAATAGTATGTTATATAAATTACTTTCTCCTTTAGGTGCGCTGGCGAAGCGGTTAGTGCGCTCATCCCGAAGCGGAAAGTCCGGGTTTGAGCCTTAGTTCGGACATATAGTTTTTTCGCCCCCTCCTGCCCCCACTGCAATAATGGATACCTGACTTCGAGTTGGGGAAGTAAAGGCGGCATGGAAAGGAACTGGCCACCCTACCATAATAATATGCCGAAAGCCCAGGAAGTGGTATCACTAAAAAGGCAATCCCCAGTGTCCGGATCAGATGCGGAAACAACTTTATTTTTTTTACTTTCTCCTTCCACGTCAGGTATACAAGACGGAGAGCAGTGGACGCCACACTAATTGTCTGTCCCTGGCCACTTCCTCTGGTGTTGACACATCCAGACCCTCAATGATTTCCTCACCCCTGATTAGAAATGCTAGTTGGTCTACTTCTTCTTCTTTCTCCATTTGGTCTCCAGTACCATTGCTGATAGGGTCATCTTAACTTTGGTATGTTCACAAATGCCCCAGATATCTCCCGGGGGCTCTCGTGGCCTAGAGGTTAAGGTGTTGGCCTCTCATTCAAAGGTCCCGGGTTCGAATCAGGGTTGCGACCGAAAAATTTTCTTCTCTAAAATTGTCTCCTTTCACCTCCTTTCCTGCTCTCCAGCAATGTTCTGTTGTCTGCTTTCATTTCCACTTTCTGTCCCCACCCCCTCACCTCTTTTGCCCCCTCCTCTGGGCTCCTGACTCTTTCTGCAGCCTTTCTATTGCTACTCCTTGGCTCCTCCTTACTGTTGTCTTTCTGCCATACCCCTGATCTTCTGGTGGGAAAGATCTACACCTAGCCTTCTCGGACAAGGGCAAAAATCTCGGAGGGCCGTGTGCAAGTTGCGCACGTTAAAGATCCCTTGGTGGTCTGAAATCGATAAGAGTAGGCTTCGGCTGCCACCCGGGCAGAATTCAAAATTTCCGACCAACTGAAAATATTAGGAGTGTCCCGCGCGCTCATATGACCTATGCAGTTGCGAGCGCCGTAAAACACTTTACAAAAACAAAAACAAAAAACAAAAGATATATCCTTCTTCTCCTTTTTATTGTCGTATTGATATCTTCAATCACAGCTCTTTCCAAAACTGCATCATTTATGATAATT